ATGCACTCAAAAAAATAAAAGTAATGCACTCAAAAAAAACTAACGCACTCAATAATCTCCGATAATCTAGAACGAATTCTTGTGCAGAAGTTAGATGCTACAGAAAATGTTCGTTCGGAATTTGTTGACGTTGGTTTTATCGTCATTAACGCTTGATACAAATATGCAGTTCTTTTTTTAGTTTTTGAAAACAATAAAAATTCTTTTTAATTATCAGCAAATTCATCTCTGCAACTCGGCAAATTTGGACATTTTGCACTTTTTGATATTTTATTTATAGTTCTTCTTCCAATGTTAAATCGACTGCGTTCCCTGTAGTATTTTCGTTGTTTTCAGTTGAATGTTTCTATTCATAAGTGTGTTTTGCTGTTCTTCATCCCCATAAAATAATCTTTTTATTAAATCTGTAGTAAATGGTTGTATTTTCTTTGAAGGCACCATTTTCAAGAGAATTTAATAGTACCATTTATAAGAGAATTTAAAAATTCTTCTAATTCTTGGTTTTTACGGCTATTTATTCGAGTTTTCATCGTCATTAATAGTTCTCTACTTATGTTACCATTGGATTCTTTTACTTTTCTTAACATAAAATCAATTGCTAATCGGGCTGTGGCAATATTAGCATCGTCTCTGCTAAGAACTTCAACAAGTTAATTTATTAGGTTTTAGAGTAAATTTCCAATACATGTAATAATTCAATATTAATATTTTCTACTAAATGTACACTTCCAATATCTTGAAGAGCTTCTTTAACGATATAAAATAATTTTTAAAATCTAGATACCATTTCGAGCAATGAGTTCCAACGAGTTCTTACGTCTTTCACTAGTTGAAGTTCATTTCATAAAACTATTTTGACCTTTTCTTGCAAAATATTATTTCGCACAGAAGAATTTTTAAAAAATTTAACAATTATACAAACACTTTTTATATTTTCTTCTATATTTCCTAAATTTGTTAATTCAACATATTCGTACTCTTCGACGTCATCACCGCTCTCGTCAGAATAATAATTTTCATCTTATATATTATAAATTTCATCAATACCATCTTGATCATAGTCATCACCATCACCATCAATACCATCTTCATTTTGCAAGACGGCAATATTTTTCTTTTTATATAGTACATCACAAACAGCTAGGTGTATAGTGTGATTCAAACACAAATTATAGAGACTAGGAGATTCTTGTCCAAATTTTATCATTACACTTGCACCGTCGCCGGTTGAACCAACTATTTTTAAAATTAATATTATATTTGTTTAAATGTTGTTCTACTTTTTAACTAACTGTACAGCTGTACACGAGTTAGAAATTCTCACTAAACCCAGATTATACACTTCAGAGTCAATTCCATGCAAATTGATATTTAGATATTTCCGAATTTTCCATTCATCAAGTGTAATGCTAAATCGTCGGCCTTTTTCATCTTTTTCTTGTAACAAATCTAATATTTCCAACTTCTTTTGTTCATAAAATTTATGAATTTAATTCATAACATCTCTTTCGGCTTTAGGAAGATTATAACTTGATTTTACTAAACTTTTACGAATAAAGCTAGACTTTGCAATTGCCCTAACTGATATACCATCAAGAGCGGCTATTTTAGCGACAATTTCTTCTAAAGGCTTTCTTGCAACAGAAACAAATGTGTCCATAAGTTTAAATCATTTGTTGTTGGAATTTTCTCCTATTTCTCCTCGTGTTGATGAAGAAATTCCATCTTTAACTTTTAAATGTTTAATCATTGATGAAGTATTACCATCTTTGTTTGATATTATCGTTGAACACCTACTGCATTTACCACTTTTCATATCAGTACATTAGGTGAAATAGTCCCACACTTTTGAATTCTTCAGCATAATAGCGCTGTATAAAATGTCACATTAAACGTATGATGTTCTACTTTTTTCCTAAAATGGAGATTTTAATCAACTATTTAATTAACAAATGAAATGTGATGTTTTTTTAAATACGCGCTAAATGAATTAACTTATTAATTTCAATTTTTCTAACCAAATGTTTTTATATTAGCGAACGCTTTTAAAACAATCGCATATACAATAAATAGATTTGATTAGAAATTTATGAGGTTAGTGTCTATTCGGACATACATAAAAGCATATATAAACTTGAATGTTCTCAAAACATCAAAAAAGCCGTGGTCTAAATTTCAAGCTAAAAAAAAGATAAGGATACAGTGTGACGGCGTTCCAATGCGTACAGGCAAAACTGAAGAGTCAAATCATGAGATTCGCCGAGTCTTAAACCGGGTATCGAATCCGGGTATTTATCCACGGACTCGCCGAGTCCGAGTCCGGGTACCCGGAACCGAAAAACCCTAGAACATATATGAAATCGGTATTTACCAACACCTAATTTTTATGCATAAATATAATAACAGTTTGATTCCACAAAACTTTAATGATAAATTTACGAAAAAAGTAAAATGAAAGTATTTTCTCATAATAAACCAATGGAACACTTTTAAATTGCGAAGAATTAATAGTTAGTATTCTGAATATGGAATATCATACCGCGGACCAAAACTATGGAACACTTTTCGAAAAACAAAAAGTTTTATTTCGGTAAAATCAATCTTATAAGCTTGTAATAAAAAATAACATTTTTTATTACAAGCTTAAAGGAACGATTTTACCGAATTTAACAAATATAATGGAATACAATTTTCATTTCAAAAAATCAAGAAAATTACATAAATAATTTTTTCGATTTTTTGAAACGAAAATCGTATTGCATTATATTTGTTTTTTTTCTTGTTTTACTTGGCTCTTATTTTGATATTTAACAGAGTTTTGATAAATGACTTATAGCTAGAATTATATTAATATTACTTTGATTTAATGTCAATATTTATGCAAGCTTTAAACTTGATGGAGATGTACATAGTATTTTTAACTATCTTATTTTATTTTTAACTTGTAAAGCCTACATAGAAACTCTATGAAAAGATTGTGGTGACTTTAGTCATCCGTATCTTCTTTGAGCCCCTGCCTGTTTTTTATAAATCCGCCTTTTTTATGTAAACGTTTCTTTGTAATTATATTTCTTATTATATGAACAGCAAATATATATACTAAAAAAAAATATTGACTAGTAATTAAGTAGTACTATGTAGTTTATCTCAACAGCTGTAGGGTATTTGTTATAAAATCAAGTATTTATGGAATGCTCTAAAATCAAGTGTTTATGGAATTTTTTTGATATCTGGTGATGATATATATGAGACACACGCTTAATGGAGTGTAATAATATTTTTTACATTTACGAACCGCAGCTGATATCTATTTTTTGTCTTCGGAGGTTGAAGATATTGCAATAGTATGAGATAGGTATAACAAGAACATCGCATTTTAGAACTGGATATTTAAACAAACTTTTGGGTTCTTTAACTTTTCTTAGAAACTTCATATTAAGATAATCTGGGTTTTTAAAACAGATATTCATTTGCGAGCACGCTGTAATGATAAAAAATGTGAAGTAATGTAAAGGTATAAGTTAAAAAATGTAAAGATAAAAAATGTGAAGCTAAATTATTTACAATAACGATCTTTATTCCTCTATATACAAAAAGCTTTATTCATGTAAGAGTTGCTATTTCAAGTGTAAAGATTTCAGTGAACCAATACGCTAACGTTATAGAGTTGAACCAACTAGATTTTGATATGTCAAATATACTTTCAGGATATATACAGACACCACGTATCCACACTATGGAGCTTTATAAACAACCACGGGAGAAGGAAATTGACCAGCCGCACTCCTGCAGTATACAATACTAACATTTTATTTGGAATGCTTAACGTTAAACGCCACGTTTACAAATTACTGTTTTAAGTCTGGGTTACAGTTCACATTAGTCTCATTATAGTCAAAAATTAGTATTATTTGAATATTTTGTAGTGTATATTCAGTCTCTATCAGTTTCAGCTCTTGCTGGTTTTACGTTATTATCATTTTTAGCCGTCAGATTGTCCCAGTGGGTTAAAGAAGCAGAAGATCTAGGTTCAAAACGAGTTCTGGACATATTTTCACGTCACGGTTTTGTTGCAAAAAATAAAAATAAAGGATTTCATTCAATTAGGTCTAGGGAAATTATTTTTAAACTGTGTGTTAGTAACACTTATCCTGTCTAAATAGTCTTTTACTAGCAGCCGTATATCCATACTGTCCATTGTTAAGATGCTAAGAATTTATAATATCTGTTAAGATGTCTAAAAATTTATATCTCTTTTTTGTTTTGAGAGCTTAATCTAGTTTGCCCTATTAGTTTTTTTTATGTCTCAACTTGCATTTTGTATGACCACTTCTTGATATGATGCTAATGATCAACTATCTAGTTTGCATTAATAAATTCTCTTATTTCTTTAAAAATTTCTAGTATGTTTGCTAATATTTAATGCTCTTGTCCTTTTTAACTGACAATCGTTAGAAACATTAAAAGGTTACAACAGGATTAAACATTTTTGAAACATTAAAAGGTTACAATAGGATTAAAATATCATTTAATGAAAATTATCTAAAAGAAAAAAAAAAAAAAAAATTTTTTTGTTTTGTTTTTATGCAAGTGGGATTGGGAGGAATGGAAAATACCACTTGAACTGCATATGGGTTTTTAGAATGAAATTGAAGCCAAAAAATCAGTCAGTTTATTCAAAACACATTTCCACGAGTTAGAATCACTTCGCAATCATTATAATTTAAAAAATAAATACAGAATATAATTACATATCAGAAAAAAAAAGTTAAAATGGGTGGTTATTTTGCGATTACATTTTCTGGTCAATACTTTTCCAACAAACAAGCAAAGTTATTTATCTTTATTATCAAACCTCCGTTTTTTCATTATCAAAGCCCCGCTCAATAAAAGCATGCGTTCGATTTGCGTTTAGACATGCGCTCGATTTGCGTTTTTTTTGTTTTTTTAATTTTGTTGAAGTTTTATGAAATTATATTTAAAATAACAACACATACCTCTAAAATTAAGTTAAAAAGTTGTTTATTACATTGAAAATCAAATAGTGCAATTTTACACAAGTTTTTACTAATCAAACATAACTGATTTGTAACAAAAAAACATCAAATATAACTGATTTGTAACAAAAAAAGGAAATCTTCAAAAACTCCATTGAACCATATCTATCAATTAATGTCCATGGCCGCTACTTTTTTTGCCTAAAAGATAAAATTGATTTTATATAAAAATAAAAAAAAAAAACCAAATAAAAACTAAAACAGATAACTTGTTAAATATGTTTTATTTTGCTTCTTCCATTTTGTGTTAAATAATTTGTTTTTTTGCTTAAAGTTTTTTGAAGAAGCATAAATATTTTTACCTCTGTGACTTTTGCTTTTGCCTCTATTGGAGTCTTAAAAAAAAAATTACATTATTAAAAACAAAAGTTAAAATTAAAATACAGTTCTAACATCTCTAAACCTTTGATGTCATGGTTTTTGTGAAAGAAAAAAAATAAACAAAAAAGTATATTTACCTATTCTTGATGACTGTATTGGCACTAATTATAAATAATTAAAAATAAGTTAAGTAAAAATAGGTTTTTTAACATCTTTAAAATACTTTTTTCTCTAATTTATTCAATAATCTACAATATAAAAATATTTTAAAAAGCTTTCATAAAAATTTTATATACCAGGTTTTGAGGGTTTTATTGAACTGTGTCTTTCTCCGTTTCCTCCTTAAAATGAACGAATTAAAATTAGTTTACCACAAACAAAATATAACAATAATAATTAACTCTAGCCAAGAAGAAGATATTAAATTAAAAAATAAGTGCATCGTAAACAAAATAAGTTTATATAGATAACAAAATAAGTTTATATAGAATTTTTATTGAAGTTTTTTCACATATTTTTTTTATGTTGCGAAAAGTTCAAAGTTAACTAATTGATTGCGCTACAATTTTAGAACCGCACAACCAAATAATGGTAGAGTAACAATCTTTAGAACTATAGATTGTGCGGCACTATTAAGTAAACGAACGGGTAGGCAATGAATTAAAAAAAAAACAGAAGTAATAAAATCAACAATAAATTAATCTATGTGACTTACGATAAATGACGAAACGCTTGAACCAGAAATTTTCTAATCTATAAACAACCCAAGTTAGCATCAAACTGTTAGCATTAAAGACTACTCTAAGCAAAACTGTCAATGGCAAAACACTTTTTTATTGTAACAGATTTTTTAACAGATTGTAAAATAACCAATCTTGGAAGAAAATTTATTATAGTATAATTTGCTTTCTAAAAAGTATTAAAAACAGAATTGCTTTTTTATTGGTAAATAGGTAATTATATAGAATATCTAGTCGGTCTGGCATTCTAAACAATTTTTTTTTTTATAATAGTTGTTGGAGTTGTTAATAGTTTAGTTTGTGGTGTCGACGTGTGGTAAATCTACCTTTTTACTTTCATCTTGAGTTTAAAGCAAACACTTTAAAAACTAATGATATTAAAAGTTTTTATATGATTATTTTATCTAATCTACCACATAACAGCAACAAGATAAGGGCAACACATATTTTTTTGTTGCAATGCAATACTTAATTCTGCATTTACATGTAACTATGCAAAATAATTGCTTTACTTTTCTGAATTATTGGATAGGATTGACAACAAAGTTAAGAATATTAGCAATAGCATCAAAAGTAGATCTTGCTATGCTTATGCTAAAATTGTACACAAATTATAAATTCTGTTTCTGATGGGAAAAAAAAGGTAATATTTGTAAAAAAAATTAATAAAAAGAGATGTTTTTAGGAAGAAAAAAATGTTTAAAGCACATTTGTCTTCTCTTTTTGCAACTAATGATTAGACCAAAAGAAATTTTATTTTAATTCACTGAAATATCATCACGCCTTGGTATAAACATTATTTCAAAAACTATTTTAACTTGCCAACAACTGTACTTTAGGTTATCGAAATCCTTAAAACCACATGACAATTTTATTCAATTGACACCAGGTAAATGCTTTTTTATCAAAACAAGTTTAATTTTATTTTAAAAAAGTTATTTGAAAAGATTTAAAAATAAAAAAAAAGATGCAAAATAAGTTTTTAGCAACCACTACTAACATACACTTTTTTTATTTTTTTTAGCAACTACTGCTACCATACACTTTCCTATTCATTTTCTTCTTTAGAAAACAATTAAACAAGTACGATAAACAAACCACGAGATTTAGGTCTGAATCTTATTTATTTCATTTATGTTATATAAAAAGTGCCTAAAAACTTTTTGTAATTTAGGCAGAAAAATTGTATTTCTGATTAAATTTTTTTTATTTTTAACAAGTAAGATATTTCCTTTTTTAAGAAATATATTTTCCATCCTGCAATTTATTCAAAGCAAGAATTTATTTATAGCAAGAAATATATTTCTCGTTTTAATAATTTGATTTCATAACTACGGACGATGGATTTTTCGATTTTGTTGTCAATCTTAAAACAAGAAATATACATTACTTAAAACAGGATCTTGATTAGATTTTGGGTAGATTAAGAACCAATATGTTTAGTCACAACTTGGCATTTACAATTGTTCTTAAACAATTGTAAACATTAAATAAACTCTAAAACAACCAATAAACAGTATTAGGTATTAAACAGTAATAAGGCTTGAACAAAATATTACAAAAAGTTTTTACCAGCTTTTGATGGTTTTATTGAAGGTGTTCTTCCACCATTAGTTTCTAAAAAAATAAACAATTGCATATTTAAATTAGGACAATTGTGAAAAATACGTAAATCTCAGTAACAGAATAATAGATACTTTAAACCTGATTTAACTGGTTTTAATGAAGTAGGTCTTCCGCCGTTGGGTACTAAAAAAATGTGATTATAAGCTATTGAATGAAATGTTTAGATATAGAGTGTATGAGTTACATTAAAAGTGATTAATTTATGTATTTAAGATAAATTGTATACTGATAAATATTACCAGTTAAGTAGTACACAATCGCGTCGTCTTTGACTTAAATATAAAAACAGTTGCAGCCGAAGATTTATTAAAATAGGAATAACGTCACAATATTAATACAAAGCGCTACTGTACTGTCTCTTTAACTAAAGAGCGTTTTTCTAAAAGAGGCTAATTCACATTTTTATTTTAAGAAAAATGGAAGAAACTAACCATTGAGTAAAGTACTTTTTGAATATCAATAGTTTTTTTATCATAAATAAAGATGATTAAAAACTTTTTTATTCTTATTAACATAGGTTTGTCTCTTTTCCAATAAAGAATCCAAATGTTTGT